AAAAAAAAAAAGTTGAATATCACAATTTTTTAAAAAATTAAAATTTTTTTGAAATTTTGTGATAATCAACATGTTTTTTTTTTTATTATTCATTTTTTTATTTATGTAAAAAATATATTAATAAAATCAAATAAAAATTTCGTTCAAAAAAATGAAAATTTAAATGGTGGACCCCACTTGTAAATATTAACCTTTTTTTCTATTGCAAAATTGTTTTTTTGGCTCATCAAAAAAAAAAAAAAATAAATAAATAATTTCTCATAAAAGTAGTGTTAGGTCTCTTTTCTTAAAATAAAAATAAAAAAAAAAAAAACAATTACCTCAACAACATGTGGCAATTTCATAACTCCTTTCTGTTTCTTTTGTTTCTTAGGAGTAGTGTCATACATAATTTTGCCCTCTTCCCTCGGAACAATAACAGACTCATACCGATACCGACACTGTTTGGGTGACCTATAGATCCTCGAAATATTGTTAACAATGTCAGCAACCAGATCCCAATTAGGCGTGTGAGCCGGCGAAATGACCATCAGATTGAGCGACAAGCCCTGATAGACCTGGAGCGCCTGAAGCAGTGCCCAATCTTCATGGACCAACCAGTCTAGCATTGGCTCGGGTTCAATTGCCTTGAGAACTGTAGGCTTGACCCCCGGGATCGTTATCGGCGGCCGAATTCCTCTGTGTTTGTGGAGCTTCATGTCACGGCGTGCTTTGAGCAACGCAGGAGTCGGGCGGTCAAATAGCGACCTCGGAGCAAATGAAGAATCATCTTTATGACGTATTTTAGCGGGACGTCGTCCATCTCTTTCCGCCGGCGTCGTCTCGGTCCGACTTCGCTTCAGCTCTTTTTTCACATACACTGGCGGCAATTGCGCTTCAGTCATCGGTGTGTTCTCGTACAAAAATCCTAGGGAGTAATCCACGTACACGTCGTTATCCGAAGTTGGAGGTGTTGGAGGACACCACATCTGTTAAATTTTATTTTTCAATTATTAATCAATTTTTTTTTTTTTTTTTTTTTTAAATGTACTTACCGGCATTTGTTCCATCGTATTGTCAGATAACCACACCTATAATTATTCAAAATAAAAATTGAGTAAAATAAAAAAAAAAATTAAAAATTAATATCCAGAATCCGTCGATTCAATATTGATTGCAGCGAAGATAACCAGAACTGTAATAACTTACCCTTTAATAAACTTGATAATTAAAATCTTAAGATTAAAGTTGAAAAAAAAAAAAAAAACGGGAAATTGAAGGATTGTTTAATTCAAAAGCTTCAAAACCGTTCTGGTATTCGCTACAGTCATATACATCATCGAGGAATATATAAATATTCCTCACGCTCAAAAATGTGCCTGCTTATATTCTGGCAGTCTCCAAGATAAGTTTGGAATGGCAAAGGCAGTGTTTTGGTGCCATTTAATAGACATGTAATTAAAATAATGAATTTTTTTTTTTTTTTTTTTTTTTCATAAAAAAAATTGAATTTATTTATATTTTGTTCAAATAATTGTGCGGTCCAGACGGCCTTGCCACACCAAACAAGAGATCAGTGACCTCCAAACATAAACAAGCACACTGAGCTAATATTTTTTTTTTTTTTTTTTTTTTTTCAATATCTAATAAATAAATAATTGAATTTTTTTGACACCAAAACGGAACTGAACCTTTGAACCTTGGAAACACACCAAGAAATAAGAAAACACATTGTTTGTAGTAAGGAATATTTTTCGTTTATTTCCTTCTTTAGTCTCACGCTCGATCATACAAAAAATACAGGCACACGACTTAGTAATTATTTATCGCGTTACATTTAATAAATACATATACATAAAAACATATATAAATATATATATGGATAAATATTTATGTATGTGTATATGTATATATACATATGTAATATAATATACTTATAATTTAAAATCTTAACACTCGACAAATTACACGTTATTTTTCTAATCGTTAATAATTTTAATCCCTAAAACGTTTATATATATTTATATATCTATATTTATAATATTATTTCACATGAACGACTTAAGTCGTGTATAGAGGAGTGATAGAGAGACAGAAGCACATGAACTCATTGGAGTTTCATTTTTTAAATTTTAACTTTAATAACAAATTAAAAAAAACTTCTCATTGTAAGTCAAACTTAAATGAAAACAAAAAAAAACGTCTTTCAAACTTGATTAAAAAATATTAACAATTATAAACAATATTTTGATAATTACGTATAATAACAGAGTGTAGCGTCTTGATTATATTGAAAAAATATTTTTTTTAACCCTAACTTTTATTATTATATATTATATAATACAGTCATGAGTCTCGCGTTATCACGAAAATATAAATTATATTTATCATTTTTCTTTTTCCTCACCGTCATATTTTAATCGGTCAGTAATTTTTTTTTTCTTGTTATTAGTACTCCGCTCTTTTTACAACGTCATCAGACGCAAATTATTTAAAATCCAGTACAAATTTATCAGTTAATAATCAAATTAAATACGGAATTTAATTCCGTCTCTAATTGTTAATTATTACAACTTTAACTATTAATTTAATATATTTACATAATTCACAATTATTAGGCAAGATTAAATGAAGCAGTTAATAAAAAGAAAAACGTTAAAAAAAAGTTCAAACAATGTGAATGATATAAATAAAAATGATAATTTTTTAAATCAATAAATTAAACTCAAGAAACCTGACGGTTAAGCTTAGTATCAACAGAACTAAGTTTTATTATTTTTTTATTAGGCCCTAATTCGTCATCATCCGCGGCGTCTGAAATTTGTATGTCATTAAATTTATTTTTTAACCCTGATTTAATGAGTCTTTGTGATCTTTTTATACTTTTACTACGCAATCTTTTATCTCTTAACTCAGTGTCGCTTTCCGACTCGCTTTCATCGTTTAATGAGACAGTTTCAACAGGTGATGACGACGACGACGATGCCGAGGAAATTAATTTACTGCTTCTTGATCTGACTTTAATGCCCACCGGATCTTCCATACAGATCACCTCGCAGTCCCGTTTTTCCTCGCTTTTTTTACTTGACGAGTTATGGGGACTCGTTTTGTTGTGATTTATCCTTGAATGAGTGTCCAGAGTTATCATGGCAACAACTTTGGCTGTTCTTTGCGGGCGCTCATTGTCAACGGGAGTCGCAGCGTCTTTATCTTTATTCGTAAAAGAATCATTATTAACAGCATTACCATTTGAATCTGTATCCAGGGAGTCTTTTTTGGTAGAAATATTCTCCGGCGACGGTGTGCGTGCATTGACATCTTCATTTTTTTCTGGACAAGTAGAAGTGCGACGCGTCTTGTTATTTTTGCTAGATAAATTAGCGTTCAAATTGTAGTTAGTAAATAAAATAGAATCTCCTGATCTGGTGATGCGTGATGATTTTTTAGGAACTGGTGTATCAGGCCTCCGCTTCGGAGTAACGGCAAGCGTATTAACATTGTCATTTAATTTTGATTTTGACTCTGGAGTTGTTGCTAATACTTTGGGCTGTGAATTACCCCGAGATTTGCGATTTATCTGAGTCGGCAATAAAAACCCATTGTCCATGTTGCCCTGAGACCGTGTGGTAGGTCTATCTGAAGACGAGCGCTCTTTGATCACCACAATAGGAGAATCTAGAACCATTGATGAACGCGTCACTCGCGATGACGATGAAGTGGAAGTTTCTGGTTGTAATTGTGGTGGAGGTTGAGGAGATTTTGGAATTGGTAATTTTAATTTAATGTCTGATAAAATTAATATAGGACTCTTGCGTCCTTCGGGTTTTTTCTCTTCTTCGGGCGCTGACTCAGATTCGGAAGATTTTTTGACTATTTTTTTTTCTAAACTTTTCCGAGCTTTTCTGGACTCGTCGGACACAGGAGCCAGTGGTTCTGCAAACGGCGAGTGAGCTTTGGTCCGGCGTCTTAAAATACGCGGAAATGGAGTATCTGGACGAGTTATTTTTAATCGCAGAGTAAGATTAGGATTCGGCGGCGACTCAGAGGTTTTATCGTCAGAGTTCTGCGGCTTTAAGACGGTCGGTTCAACGGGAGGCAAAATAGTTGCCTCAATTGGCACGGATTCATCCAACAGAATATTCTCAACGCAAACTTTCGGCCAGCTGGTTTTCTCAAGTTGACTTTTTTCCTCCTCAACGCCGTCTATCGACTCTTGCTTTATCTCTTTAGCTTCAACGTCAATAATCTCCTCTGATTTGTGGATCTTCGAAGCGCGACGAGTTCGACTGCTCAAAGGTACGTTGCTCAACGAAGATCTTGTTCGCGTTTTTCTCAGAATAATCGTCTCTATCTTCGGTTCAGCATTCACATCCGTGCACGAAGAATCCGCTGAAGAATCATCTCCTGATTTTTCTTTGTTACTTATGATACAGTACTCATCATCCACCACATCGTTGACGGTCATCGGTGACGTATTGATCCTGTTATTTGGCGAACCGACATTAACGTCCAAATTCTCGGTGTCTTCATGAATGTCTTTAAATTCAGGTTTATGGGACCGCGTCACATGATTCACCTCTTCTGTAATTTCAAATTTAGCAATCGTATCATCTGATAATTTTTTAGCGTTATTACGACTTGAGCGAGTGCGTTTACTTTCGTCGCACGGAACTTTACATTCTTCTAACGTATCACTATTTAATTTTGGCGACTCGGGACACGAAGATTCACGGGGAGTTGTTTTATTCGACACCTCGGATGTTAATTCCTCCTGCTTGTTGTCACTCTCATCATTAGACTCAGACATGTCCATTATCATAGAGCCCGTAACATCAGACATTTTGTCATCAACATCCGATTTAATTATTTCTTCAACAGAACCCACCTCGCTTTTTTCTTCCTCGTTAATTTCATTATCCGCATCATTAACACTAGGACTAGTTAATAACACAACAGATTTGCAATGATCATCTACAACTGAAGATTTATCATCAGTATTATTAGCATCATTATCATTATCATTATCATTATCCATTACTGAACTATTATCATCATTATTTTCATTATCAGTACTTTTGTCAAGATTATTATCACGTTTATTACGTTTCCGCCAATGAATTTCTTTGTAACTACGTTTAACAACCGGTAAAATGGGGCTTACATCTAGGGTCCATAAATTTATTTTAACATTACCGCGAGATCTTGTCCGTGGACTATTGAGATCGAGGTGATTTTTCCGTAATTTAATTTTTTTAGGGCGACCTGGTCCCCGTTTAGTATTTTCAAATTTGTTCACCTGTGAATCATCATCCTCGTTATCACCATCCTCATCATCGTCGTTATCACCCTCCTCACCCATCTCGTCATCATCAACCTGACTATCTTGACTTGACTCTTCAACATCAGAATTATTATCCTCAGCGAGATCCTCCTGAGACCCCGATTCGCTTTCACTCGAACACTCGGACTCACTCGCTGAAGATTCACATGTTCTACTACGTCTACGTGAACTACGTCTACTTGGCGCGACCTGACGTTTTTTATTACTATTATTACCTACTCTCTTAGAATTATTATTACTATTAACCTGATTCTGAGCATCCTCGCGGCTGAATGTCAATGGCTTATCGTCGTCATCAGCCATCCTCATTCGTCGTTCTTCTTCCTCGCGTAGAGCACGTAGTCGGTCCAACTCCCATTCTTTTTTCTGTTCCTCCAGTTCGCGTTCTGCTGCTGCTAATTGGGCTGCTGAAAATGTACCTTCGGTTTCTTCGACGAATTTCATCGCGTATCGTTCCACTGGTGTTAGCTAAATTAACAAACAATGATAAATTAATAATTAAATAAAAGATCAACTAATCAATACAAAATTATTTCAGGCATAAAAATTTAAAAAATAAATTTAATTATCATAAAAATAGTAAAGTTCATATTAAATTTTAAATAAAAAATTATTCAACACTTAAGGAGATCCAAATACCCTCCTAGTATAAAAAATGTCTATAAAAAAATAATACGTAGAAATACTTTGTTATGCATTTTAAAATTAATTAATAACATTTATGAGAAAATTTCCTTATTAAAAATTGAACTCATTAAATAATTATTAACATTCAATTGACTAATAAAAAATATAGCACTCTAAATTACCGGGATACACTTGACAACACTGCAAGAGTTAACGAAAGTTTATTATTTTTTCAATCAAATTCAATAAAAATAAAATTTTTTTTTAATCGTTAATTGCATTAAGGGGAGAAATACGTGTACAGGCTTAAAAAAATTCAATTTTTTTTTTTTTTTTTATAAATCGCTTGTAAAACTATTCAAAAATATAGATTGAAAATTTCAAGTCAAAATTTCTATTCGTTCAAAAGTTATAAGTGATTTAGTAATTACTTTAATACTATTTTACATTAACTTCTTTTGTCATATTTTTTTCAAACGCGTTTTTCTCAAAACGAGTTTCTTCAAAACTGTGTGCAGTCTAGCTCAAAGAGTTTTGAACCAATCATCTTAAGATATGGCTTATAATTTTCTTTATACAATTACCTTGAATATGAACTTCGATCGAAAGTGGTATTTTTATTTAAAATTTTTTTTTTTTTTAATAAACAATGTATGAAAAAGTGGTAAAAAATCACGACTTAATTTCCCAGCCCTCTAAAAAAAGCAAATTTTTACTGTTTTTTTATTTTGTGGAATTGAGGTTCATATGAAAGATACACCTATAAATGAAGTAATTTTTCTGTGCCATTGATTTCAAATAAAAATTGTGGCTACCATACTGCACACAGACTGCTAAGTCGGATGACAACCTACGATGTGTATCAGCTGATATCTCCGCTCTTTGTTAACTTATATTGTTGTTTAATACGAAAAAATACTCATAAATATATGTATAAAATAACCTGATAGTTTCAATAAATAATCTTAATCTTTTATACCTTAAAAAAATTAATGAAAATCAGCATGAAAACGGCCTTCTACACGTATTTCCACCCTTAAATTTTTAACCAAATACCCGGTTAGCGTATCTCTATTTACCTACATATAAAAATTACAATTTTCAAACCTAATTATTTAATTAAACATCCCGGAAACCTACTGTTTTTTAATTTTTTTCAATTATTAGGCTACGTAGATTGAATTTACAAATTTTCAGGAAGTTTTAAAAATTTACTTCGCGTGATCTCCTTAAAACAAAATTATGGTTAAAAAAAAAAAAAAAAAAAAAAAAAAAAAACTACCTGTGAAATCAAATTCTGAACTTCTTGTTCAGCTTTACTGATTTGCGTGTCCTCCCGATCAGCATCGTCCAACGGAATATTTTCATCAAACTCAGCAAGATCGGCAACAGCTTCAGCCTTGGCAGTTTTCGCAGCCAACACATCGAGATCTTCCTCAGCAGCGGCGAGTGCACTCTCCAAAGCCCCCATCGCTACCTTTTCTTCGACAACCGGTGTTACAGCATTACTATTATTAGCACTATTACTACTCGAACAAGACGAGACTTCTTTCAACAGTGACTTGTCACGTTCTCTTTTTTGTTCAACGATATCAGCCATACGTGCCGACGCATCATTTTCAGTCTGATCAATATTAAAGAGGTCCTGGATTGTCGAACTCTTGAAGTACGCAGTAGTGAAATTACCACCTTCAATAGCTAGATCACCGAGTAATCTCTTTTGATTGGCCTTTTTGAGAATATTTTCTTCAACAGTCTTTTCGCTAACAAGTCGGTAAATGTGAACATCTCGAGTCTGTCCGATCCTATGACAACGATCTTGCGCCTGAGCGTCCATAGTAGGATTCCAATCGCTGTCGTAGAATATAACTGTGTCAGCTCCAGTAAGATTGACACCAACACCACCCGATCTCGTCGATAGTATGAAACAAAATATACGTTTATCACCGTTGAATCTTTCCATGAGAAATTGACGCTGATCAACGCGTGTTGTACCGTCTAATCTTAAATAAATATGACCGTGATAATTAAGAAATGCCTCAAGTACATCCAACATTCTAGTCATTTGTGTAAATATCAGCACACGATGACTTCCACTCTTTAATTTTCTCAATAAACGATCTAATGATTGCAATTTACCACAATCATACTGTATAAGTCGTGGATCGGGAAATTGTGTCATCATCGCGCTACTTATAGGATGGAGTACTGCACATTTAGGTGTTAATCGCCGCTGAAGGACCATCTGCATGCGTTGATGTTGCCATAATTTACTCGGTGCTGGATGAGAAACGTGGAAACGCGGCATAGGAGCTCTTACTGCTGGTACATAACAGACGAAACGCTCAAACACTTCCTTCAACTCTTCGACTATTTGTTCTGTTGATTTTATCGCTTGAGCAAGAGCTTCTGTACGGGAGAAATATTGACGACGTGTCCGTGCTGGTTGCTTGGCATTCGTACAATTCAACCAGCCGTTGTGCCACTGACAACCCGAGGCTGGTTTGTCAATTCTCAACGCTGTGAAAAGGTCTTCACCGTACAAAGGACACGCTGCGCATTTACGCTCGTTAATGTTCGCTATGGTACGCAACTTAGCTTGCCGCCTTTGTCGCCGATCTTCTTCGAGTTGCGCCACGTAAAAGTCAGATTTAGGACTTTCTTTTCGTTTTTTAACCACTTCTTTTTGTTGTGCAGTGCCATTGGCATTGCTGCTGTTGTTTGCGCTAGTGACACCACCAGTTGTTACGATGCTAGCACCTCGAGTTACTATGCTGCGTATTTGTGGTTGCGGCGGCGATGCCATTGCCGAAGCTACTGTCGTTGAAACATTCAATGGTGGTACTCGCATTACAGGCCGACCTCCGACTGTATTTGCTGATGTTGTTACCACACCGCCAACAACTTTAGTCACTGGGGTGAATTTTGGTGAAAGGACTGTTAGTCTTTGGCCACTCGATGTCATTACAGGAAAAGAAACTAAACATAAAAAAAATTAAATTAAATTAATAAATAATAATTAAAATAATTTTTCGATTTATAAATATATTTGTGAAAAATATTCAATCAAGGTCGAAAATCTTTCAAATAAAAATAATGATGATTTAAATTTGAGTTGTTTTACGTTTGATGATTAATTTAGTGAGATAAAAATTTTTTTATTGTTTTTAAGTATTTATAATTATGGAGTTTAGTGTTGAAATTACTCTTCCAGTTAATTTTTGCTCTATTACTATTTTTTTTTTTAATTTTTCGATCGTAAAGCTTCGCATCATGAGTCGTGCAATAATAATTCAATTGTTTTCGTTAGAGGTAAAGTACCCAGTACTTGAACAGACTTTTTGAATTGTTGTAATACAAAATCTGTATATTTATTATGGGTAATATGTGCATGTTATAATTATTCAATGATACAGTCATTTATTTCTGTAAGTTTTTTCAATTATAAATCAAAACAACTCTTTTTTTGTCAACTTAAAAGATGACATGTCGAGAATAGCCGATAGATGCTATTTTTTTCATGAAAAAGGTACTAAGTCGTAAACCGAAAAATCAGTAAAAAAAAAAACCGGTATATCATCTTTATAAGTAAAAAAAAAAAATTATACCACCTAATAAAATAATTTTTTTTTAAATAATACATATTTTTTGCAAAGACATAAACTATAAATTTTATATTAAATTTTAGCGTCTCTAACTATACCTCCAAATTTTCAAAGCGGTACCCAGAACTTGAACAAGCTGGGACCATATAATTTTAACATCACTATAACCTCTAATAGGTTTATAGACTAGTGATCAGCATTGTGATTTGTATTTGTTACTGCCAATTAAATAAGTTGTATAGCTAAAAATTAGTGTAGCTAAAAATTATTGAACGTTTTGAATTGAGTTTTTTTTATTTATAATTGAAAATTTGTTTTGTCATTCATAATAAATGTAATTAAAAAATTAAATACAAATATTTCTCATTTTTAAATGAACATATTAAATATTTATAGCATTATTTTTAATATTATTCAATAATATGTTATAACTCTTTTAATATTTCAATAAAACGTTGGAAATTTTTGTTGTGCTTATTGCCATATATTTAATTAGATCAACTACTGCGGCTAGTCAGAATTGATTGTTTAATTACTACCCCTTTCATAGTCTTGAAAAAGTTGTTAAAATATAAATACTCAGTTATCTTTGGTATTTTGCGCATCAATCAATTTAAAATTGTTCATATTTTCATGAAAATCACTAATTTTAACTAATAATTATATTTTTATGTATTAAAAGTAGGGTCAAATATGTTTTACTTTGAAACTTGTCTAAGTACTGAGTACTTTACCTTATAATCTAGAGAATTAATAATTTAAATAATAGATAATTGAAACATATTTTTTTTTCTGAAAACGAAGTTAATATATAGATACATTTACCGGCTACTTTCAATTTTAAAAGCATTGATTAGAAAACTTCATTAAAATTCATAAAACAGCTTGTGTAGTGAAAAAAAAACTCATCTCTCTAGTATATACACAATAAATTTAAATAAATTTTGTGAAAAAAAATTGAATTATAAAGCAAATAGAATAAATTTCCATTAAAAGTTAATAAATATTCCATCATCCATCGGTAATTAAATTTCCCTCGGACTTTTACCAGCGAAAAAATAACAAAGTAAATTGAATTTTGATAAAAATATTTACCGGTGTTAGTAGTTTGTTGACTGGAATGAAGGATAATATGCCTTCCGGTTGACGTTTGAACCAATTGAGCAAAACTGGACATAGGTATCCTCTGTACAGAGTCACCCTGTTTGAATGTGACAGTTTGCGTTAATCTCTGTAAACCATCACGAATATTTGGGCTGCTCACAGCTATTTTCTGAGCGTTAATTGTTGCCGGAGTACCCGTACTAGATGATGTTGTTTGAGAGTTGTGCGGTATTGCAGCCATGGGAATTGCTGTAGCAAAAAAAAAAAGTTTATTAAAATCAAAGCATCACTTAAACTCCGAATAAAATAAAATTTTAATAAATTAAAAATGTTTTCCTGGTTCTAGAGTGTTCATAATATGAATTAAAAATGAACAGGCTGGCCAAGGAATTTATTCTAGCATCATTGCAAAGGCAGTTGCACATGAGGTACAACCACCGATCGATGATGCCTTAATTAATCTAAAAACTAAAGCAATTATTCCGTACCTTTGACGTTGCCTTGGTGTTGGACAAGCTGGACGTAACCCTGAAGTTGCTGACCACCGGCAACACGTAGTGTTACACCTTGCCCAGTGGGTTGGTTATTAAGAGTTTTAATCAGCGGCGACGTACCCACTCGTGGTGTTGGTAAAATACCAGTCAAACTTTTAATTTTAGCTTGCGTTATTTGCTGTGGGGTTACCGGTGGCGGTTTAACTTGATTTGACAGTCTTACAGTTATTTTTATTTTTCCAGCTGGACAACGCGGTGGTGGCGGTGGTTGGCTATCTATTTCTTCAATCAGTTTACGTGGTGTTTGGAAGCGACGCACTCTGTGTGACACAAACGCGGTGATCGTCCGCTCTAATTTTAATAGATTCAAATTTAAAATCGACAAATCGATGTGCTGTAATTAGAATCAATAATTAGTTACGTTCTTGGATGGATAGAACGTAATAAAAAATTTTTTTTAATAAAATTCAAGTGACTATTACCTTAAAAGGATCGTAATCAAGTACATTCCACACCAACGAAGCTGTGACAAAGTCAATAGCTTCCATTTGAAAGGGCGATACAGTCGGTCTTACTTCAAATAAATTCGGATGGTTACACACTTTACGTAATTGCATCAGCACATTGATAACGCTCAACAAATTACCGCTGGCCAAAGTTTCTCTTGTTTTAGCACGTGACATAAAATCATCGTACAAAAATCTTTGACGTTTTGATAAACGGCACATTATTACGTGCTCATATTTCTTTGGTAATTGTTTTTCTACTTCGGTTTTCAATCTTCGAAGTAAGAATGGACGTAAAACCTACAAAAAAAAAAAAAAAAAAAAAAAAAAAGTATAAAAATTTTAGATCATTCATTTCAAATAGAAAAAACATTTTAAAAGTGATAAGAATTCGATTGTAACTCCAGACAGGATTCGCATAACGTAAATAATTCCACTTATCCGTTACATGAGTTTTAATGGAGCTAATTAATATTTCGCTGATTATTAAATAAAAACCAATCGCGATATAATTAAATCACGTAGGTGGTCGGCAGCGAAAATAAATTTAAAAGAAAATAAAAAACTTAAAATTTAATATTATTTAGTACGTACAAACCTTATGAAGTCGACGAATAATATTTTCGTTGTATTCACTGTTTCCTTCGATCATGCCGGTAACAGGATTACTGAACCATTCTTTGAATTCACGGTGAGATTGAAATACATTGGGCATAAGAAAATGCATGAGCGACCAGAGTTCCATAAGATTGTTTTGTAAGGGTGTACCCGTTAACAATAAACGTCTCTGAGTTTGAAAATTTAAAAGAAGCTGCCATCGTTGTGATTTGAAATTTTTAATATTTTGAGCTTCATCTAAAATTAAATATTTCCACTTCTTTCGACGGAAACTCTGATGGTCCTGAATAACCAGCTTATAAGACGTTATACAGATGTGAAATGCATTTGGCTTTGTCCAACCGGTTCGCTTTTGCTTACGTTCTTTTTGAGTTCCGTAGTAAGTGAGAATTTTAAAACCCGGACACCATTTTTTGCACTCCATTTCCCAATTTAGCATCACAGATGTAGGTACAATTATCAAATGAGGTCCCCAATTGCCCTTTTCACATGCAAGGTGGGCCAACAATGCTATTGTTTGAATTGTTTTACCGAGACCCATTTCATCGGCTAATATTCCATTTAATTTTCGCTCAAACATTGTTACCAGCCAATCAAGGCCTATGTGTTGGTATTCACGGAGCGAGTGTTTCAAGAGGAACGGAATTTTAGTCACAACCTGCAAAAAGACAAAACCATTTATCATTAGTTTATAATTTAAAAAAATAATAAGTCTTAAGGAGGATAGCCACTGTGAAATTAAAAAAAAAAAATTTTTTTTTTTTTTTATTAAATCAGAGTTTATATATTTAAAAATATGTATCTAGAGTTTTATATGAAAATTTCGAATATTTTTCGAGTTATAGTCATTTTTGTGACAGTGCGTCAGATGACCGTTGCACGCGCGGCGCTCCGACAAAAGCGCGTTTTTCTCGAAACTGCTTTTTTGGAACTGGTCTCATCTGTAATTTGCATAAATATAAACCGATTTACAACTTTTTTTTACCCGTATTCGTCTATTCAGTAACTATAGTTGCACGTAGGGAATTTTGAATTTCAAGATTTTTTAGGGCTGTTTGAATCCAAAAAAATGAGAAAAAAAAAAACGAAAAAATTGTTAGTGTCGCCATTTTTTTTTTTAATCTAAATTTTCAAAATCCCATACATAAAACGATAACCACATGCATGAAGATTACAACGCACTTTGATTTTTTTGTTTTGGATAATCCGTTTTTGAGTTAGAGATGAGACCGTGGTGGGAGAAATTTTTTTGGTGCTCCACAAAAATTCTTATAACTTTGTAACACGATATTTTTAATAAAAATTTAGGAGAATGATTTCTAATGTATACTTTATAAAATAAAAAAAAAAAACCCAATCCCCAAATTCCTTTATTATCCCAGTCAAAAAAATTCCCGAAAATCACGTATTTTTTCGATCCTCACAGTGACTATCTCCCTTAATATAAATTTAAACAAATGTTTGACTCTTTTGCGCAATAAATTATTTAATTTATTGCATGGGAAAGCATTCATATTTAATCTACCTTCGGTGAAATAATGATAAGCCATTATATATGCTAATCATTTTGGAGTGAAGGTTAAGGAATAAAGACGCTAAAATCTATTGAATTACTCACACTTGTAGTCAGAAGTGTGTTTCCTTTAGGTTGAATACTTTCAGCCAAAGCGGCAGCGTCGTCCATTTCATTGTGTGCTTCAGACTGTGACTCATTCGGATTTTTATTTAACGATTTATCATCCAGATCTTCTAACAATGATTTCAAACCAACATCAGTTTCATCATCACTCTGACTATGCGAATCCTCATCATCTTCTTTAGTTTCATCCTCGCTTTCATTCTCACTCTCAGATTTATCGTCAGCTTCTGCCTCAGCTTCAACTTCGGCTTCAGCTTCTTCTTCATCGTCTTCTTTATCATCATCCTTGTCAGACTCTTTACCAGATTCTACAACAATAAAAAAAAAAAGTACCTTTAATAAACTGAAACAAAAAGCTGAATAAAATAGAAAAATCAATCAAACTTTCAGACAAATGCCTCGGTAGTTTCATTATGGATTGAGTTTGAATGGTTTCTCGCCCCATCAAGTTCGGTAAAGATATCATCATTTGAATAATACATAATTTAACATAAAATAAAATAAATAAAACATTATATAACATACCATGCTCACTGTCTTCGTCGACTTCCATAGTTCCCGACATATTTCCGTACTTGGCCATCAACTCATCGATAGACATATCATTTTCAGCTTTAAGATCGTCCAGCTCTTGCCGATGATCAACGGAATTGCCTTCAGCTTCCTCTTGCTCCATAATAGTGTTCTCATCGTCCGAAGACTCTTCTGAAGCGACAGTAAATTCAGCATCGGCATCCGTATTATTTTCTTCTTCTTCTTGAACATTAATCGAATCTTCTGGAGACGGAGATAAACTTTTATCCCTCTCTTCGAGATAATTTGGTGGTAATTCTTTGAGTAAATCTTCCAAGGGTATTTCTGATTCTTTTTTAAGTAACTCAACTTCCTCTTTGTGATTTGATTTCATTTCTTCCTCGGCTTTAGCTATCGTTTCTTCGTCATCTTCAGAACTTTGATTAGGCTCAAACTCATCTAAAGAATTTAATAATCCAGTTTTCGTCTTTATTATCATTGTTATTAATTATCAATTTACGGGAATAATAGTAATAAAGTTTTTTAATTTACCATCTGAGTGTTGTTTTTGCGTGGGTAAAGGTGACGATATCCTCGAACTATTTTTGGAAGCTGAAATACTCATAGTGCCTTCGGTTTTATTGAGGCCTTCTGTAAGCCACGTTGAAAATTTTTCAGTTTGCCCGACCATAAAGTTCAACCGTTGATCGAGTACTTTTTTTCTTTTCTCATCCAGTCTCGTCTGCTGTTTGAACTCCACAAGCTATTGTAAAAATAAAAGTAAAGAATTTAATTTAATAAAGAAAAAAAGTAGAAGTGAAACTCGATAAAAAAATAAATAAAAAAAAAAATTATAACTTTCAAAATAACTGTATCTAAAAAATTTTAAACTGAATCATGAGATGCAGTTGTAGTTGTCTTATTTAGAAAGTTTATGTTCCCACAATGAGCACACAATTTAAGTAATTGAGTACGTTAATTGCCGGCTTAAACATGTGGGGTAAAAAATAAAATAGTAATAGGTAGGACATACTTTTTCAACATTAGCCCAAAAGGTTTTTACTTCCTTGGCGATAACACCGGCCATTTTTTTGAGCTTGTGTTCTTGCATTTTTTCAGCCTTTTGAGCTTGAGCTTCTTTCTCCAAAAAGTGTTTTTGTACCATTCTCGCACACTTTTTAGCCGCAGCTTTTTTCCATTTACGCTCTTGCGCAAAATCAGTAGACAGCCAGACCATTTCTTCCAGTAGATAATCCCAGTGCGCTTTTGTTCTCGGAGGCTCTTGTACCTTTGGCAGTCGCTTTTCCGACCAAAGACCCTCACGTTGTAGTTCATTTATTCTTTGCATTACATAAGCTTCCTATTTTAATATGAAAAACCCGATATTAGTAATTAAGGCGTTTTATTAAATACTTTTTAAATGAATTTTACAATTATACATAACACGGTGGTCACAAATTTTTATCAAGACAAATTATTTTTAGTTTTTCAATTTTTTTTTTTTCTTTTTTCAAATAAGTAATTGTACTTTTAGAAAATGTTTGATTCTTTTGCGCAATAAACTACTAAATTTATTGCATGGGAAAGAATTCACGTTTAGTCTACCTTCGGTGAAATAATGATAAGCCATTGTATATGCTAATCATTTTGGAGTGAAGGAGAAGAAAACAATAAAACCACTGAAAGCTTTTCAATTAGTAGCACGTATATGCTTTTTTTTTAATCGCAAAAAACGTACGCAACATTTTTGGGACATTGAAAAAACTCTGACGCAATTTTTTTTAACAAATTTCAATGAATAAATTTAAAAACTTTATTTATTTAGGATAAATATTTTCAAAAAATAAAATTCAACATTTTTAATAGTTTTAGAATTTTTAGTAATGTAACCATTCCGCGATTGTATTATTAGCTAGAAAATATAAACAATGAATATATAAATTACTTGTTTAGCTTTCTCTGCAATTTGCTCATTATTTTGACTATCACATGAAGAAGGAGAATTTGCAGGCATTTTAACAAGTTTAACAACAGGTTGACCCGACGACGTAGGAGGTGACGCTGAAGTCACAGTATTAGCTACCGTAGTGGTTGCTACTGTTGTCGTAGGTGGTATTGTTTTGATGGAAGTTGAGGCCGCAGGCTGTTTATTCGCTATATTTGCAGAAGGATTTGTAGCCATAACCGCCGGTTTTGATGAATCTGGAACTATATTTCAGTTTGATTATTAAAACATACAGTAATCAAATTATTCTCTACTATACTTAACATAAAATAAACATTTATTCATTTAAAAAAATAAAAATCTATATAATGAATGTAAATAAATGTAACGAGACTTTCCCTTAGATCTTGCGAGTTGTATTCTCTCAAGATCTTACACATGCTCGGTATTAATATCCCCACGATCATATTGACTAATCCAGTATCAAAGTACTGAACCAGTGGTTTTCACGTGGGTTGTTTGCTTTGTTTTATTTTCCTTATTCAAACACAAAATCTTACTGATAACAAACAGAACATAAATTTATACGTCTACATTATGGATACATGATAAGCATAAAAAATGTCACCACGTTTTATTAAATGTTGAATAAATTTAAATATATCATGCTAGGATGCGTTGGTGCTAAAAAAAAATACAAATTAAAATAAATCGAGATGTTTAAAGTCTTCTTCTTCTTCTTAATCAGCACATAAATCATAAGGAAACAAAATTATTTTTAAAAAAATATATACACGTATTTAAACATCAAGCAGGGTATCAGCAGGGTTGATGAATAAAAAAAAATTTTTTTTTTCAAACACCTTAATAAAAATATATGAAAGTAAAGAATCAATGTACAAGTAGAGTCTAAGGAAAAGTCATCTAGTAACATCGAATGACTGGGCTAATGTTAATCACCTATAATGAATGTGGGTGCTAGAGTAGACGTGGGTGAAGGGTGAACGTTCATTGTTGGAGATTGAATAGCCGCTCGGATGGCAAATACCATTCCATGTCGGCCCCCTTGAGTCCTACCTGGTATCTGTCCTACTACGCAAATCAATTTTATTTGTGCATAAATTGATTTTTAATAATTGTTTTACAAAAGGGTCCACTAAAATTACAGATTGTGCTCAAATTACAGTAGAGATCACTGGGACGAGGATTAGAGTAACAGACTGTGAATAAAGATCCGATACTAAAAAATAAACATATAATTATGTAAATATATACCTTGCTGACTAAGCTGGGCAACGGTTGCAGGTAAGGTCGTGGAAACTGCTACAGGAGTAACCCCAACTCCCGCGAGCTTAACTTCGACCCCTTGACTCGAAGTCGCATTTGACGTGCTGAGAGTCGTCACTGTCGATACCGCGGGATTTGTAAATACAGGTAGTGGGGTCGTAAGGTCTTCGTTCTCGTCGTCAGGATCTAGACGGTGCTGTCGCAAGAACTGGAGGTACGAGGCCGTCGGTTGCTTTTTCTTCCACGCCTGGAAGTCCATGATGTTACCGCCGGCGTGGAGAAAGTAAAGCTCAGACACGTTCTCTGCGTATTTCTCGCGAATCGCGCGCATTCTTTTGAATTTATGTTCCATTATCCTACGACGGTAACCGTTGGTGTCATCAAGCAGCGTCGGCTTCTCCGAGGTCTCTGATAATTTAAGCTTTTTGGCCGGCGGCGACGACGTTATTTGAGAAGTCGGCGTCAGAAACATATTTCCGAGGGAGGTTCTCACGAGTTTCGGTGATGTCGCAAGTACAACTTTCGTCGTGTTCTGCCGGTTGGGAGATCCCAAAGGCGAACCACTTGACATGTTGCTGATGTTGACAATACGCGTGACTTGTTGTAATCCAGCCGTCGTTGTCGCGCCACTTTGTATGACCTGTAATTATATTAATAATTTATTGGGATTAAATTGTGATTTTAAATTAAAAATTAAATGAGTAAATAATAATAAAAAAAAAAAAAAAAAAAAAAAAAAATAATTCGTCAGCCAAATGCCTCGGTAACATCACACAAAGAAATGATTTGAATGTAATCATTTCTTCAGGTTCGGTAGATTGTCATCATAAAATTATTTTCAATAAACATTTAAAAGTTATAAAGTAAATAAATAAATTAAAAAAAAAATTTTTACCTGAGAAAGACCAGGAACTGAGGATGCGATGACAAATTGCTGTCCAGCTCCGGTAGTGAGAACATTGAGACCTTGGCTTGCCAATACTTGCTGCAAGTTAACTGTTTGCTGCTGAGTTCCGCTGCTAGAACTGCTTCCCCCATTGTTATTTCCACCCCCAGTTAGGGGCGGCAAAGTTGGCACGCCCTGCTTATCACTCATTACACATGACACTGATAAACAAAATAAAACAAAAATATTGATAAACTATTTCATTGACCACTATCAATAATAAAAATTTACTGGATCTACATTTACACTTGAGCTATTAAATCAAGTTTAATTAAAAGTTTTATTAATTGTTTAATTAAAAAATTAAATTTATAAACACTAATAATTAACACGTTTTTTTTATAACCTAGTATTAGCGTATATAATTATAATAACAATAATAAAAAAAAATATAACATGTCCGTAAAGTCTCGGAATACTTCGTTCAATTGATTAACCGAAATAGCGCCGAAATCAAAATCCGTATAACAATCATGAGAATCAAATTAACTTATCTATTATAAAACACTTAAGTCATTAATTAAAATATAATTATTTAAAAAAATAATTAACAATACGTAGATTAATATTAACATAGCTAATAATCATGTCAGTATTTAAATAAACTGGAGGAAAAAAAAAATGTATAATACAACGAGCTCTTACCGCTAGATCAGATCTAAAAATTATTATTAATTTAGATAAAAAAAAAAAAAATTATTAATCGTCAATAAAAATTAACCACGATAACAAATATAACTGAGTATTCGCTTATAAAAATTGTAGTTGATAATTTAAAAAAATAAAATTGGCATGAAGCCTCGCCTCGACTCGTCGCGATACAAAGGAAATTGTAAGGTCCGCCATATTGGCGTTGACTGAATTTAAGGGCGGACTTACCATTATTTAATCACAAAATTACGGTACGTAAACACGGCATCCAGATAAATAAACCGCACAATTATTTAAAGCAGTTTTAATTAATTAATTAGGTACTTCACGTAATGTTCAGTACATTAGATATATCTAATATTTTACGATACATTTTAGTTGGACTTTATCAAGGACGTACGGCACACTTCTAAACATGGCGACGGTCCCGACAATATTTCACGAGCTAACACACGACCAGGCTCACGGTCCTCGCTCGGGCAAGCTTGCCTACTACGAGCTAAGCTGGTTACACAAGCCATTCCTAGATGGAACCCGTGTTCCGCTTCGCGGCCATCCCGGAGTCTGATTCGTCAGAATTTTCACCAAATTTGGCAACGTGGCTGGAATACTACCACCTCATTGGATCTTTTTTTTTTTTTTTTTTATGTATATTTCAATTTATTGCTAATATCATTTCCGGTATCAATGGTCAAATCAGCGTCTTTTTATGTCCAATACTTTTTGATTATTACACTTTTTTTTTAAACCGCAATCAATACCAGTGTTTACTATTTAGTTATTAATTTTTGTTTTTTGCACTGTATTTTATGTAATTTAGTTTTTTAATGATGCATTCATTTTTATAAATCAAGCAATTCTTTTCATGAATAATTAGTAATAAATTACTCTATTATTTTATAAGATTGAGAGGTTGATTAAAAAAAATTTTTTTTTCATTAATTTTTTTAAATAAACTCACAAAAAACTGTTTGTACATTCAGATCATGTTGAAGGATTTTTCTTATACTTGTAAGAAATTTATTTATTAAAATTTTTAATATTCTGAAATCGAGAAACGTGACTATGATTTATTTTTTTTAAAATAAATTTATTACATGAAAATAAATTTAGCAGATATTAAATAATTTTTAGAATTTTTTTTAACAAATAAATTATAAAAAAAAAAATTAACATGTAGAAATTTAAAAAAATAAAAAATGCAATTTTTTTTAAATAATTTTTTCGAACAAATTTATTTGTTAAAAAAATTTTTTTAATTTTCTAACTTTAACTAGACTGCTAACTTTAATGTCATATTTATTACTTCTAAGTAATAAAAAAAATTGTATATACAAATTTTTCGAGATTTTTTTAATCTCTTAGAAAAAAAATCAAACTCAAATAAATAAAAAATTTTTCATGTCCGAGTTAAAAATAAAGAATTTTTTTAATTAAATTATAATTAATTATATCGAAAAAGTTTAATTAGAAAAATTTATTGAATATATTTTAATTGATAATAGTTGAGAAAAATGTGCTCCAATAAATTAACTTTAAAATTTTATGTAAAAACGCTCCAAACACTTTTTTTTTAATCAAGTTATTGAAAAAATAATTATTAAAGATAAAATTTAAATAATAAAAAATAAAAATCTTTAAAAAAAATTATGTAGTTTTTGATTTTTAATTTTTTAACCAACTTTTGAATTATAAAATTTTGTTTAGAAATTTTATAGAAAAAATTATAAATTTCCCATAAAAATTGTGACTAATTTAAATTTAATCAGAGAAAAAAATTTAAACAAAAAAAAAAATTGTGACTAGTTTAAATTTCAACAAAAAAAAATTCTTTAATTTAAAAATTATAGAAAATATTTTAATACTCAAGTTAGAAAAATTAAGAAAAAATTCATCCCAATTCGAAACAAAATTTTTTTCCAAGCTTTTCATCAAATCCATAAAATTTACAACAATCGAAAAAAATTACTATTAAATAATTACATAAAAATAATTATCTCATCGAGATTAACAAAGAAATGAAAATATTGTTATTAATAAAAATAAAATCAATGTACAATAAAACGCGCTTACCCGCGCGCAAAAAATCTTAGGTCAATGTACAATAAAACGCGCTTACCCGCGCGCAAAAAATCTTAGGAAACAACATGGCGACCACGTGGAGATCATGCGTTCCGAATACTAATTTAAACAAATTTAAAGACGGCTAATTTTCAGCAGAGTTGCGAGTAAAAAGTATTATATTAATAAAAAAGTAAGCACTTACCTCATGAATAAATTCTATTTATCGAGTCGTGATGCATTGAATAATTAAATTATTTATCAACCACGTTACGTTAAATATAATCAAACGAAATAATTATTTTATCATCTATCCGTTATCAAGAAACTCGAGATTTTCTATACTCGAGGTCGATTCAATGAAATTCGGCATCGAGTTGCGTTTTACTTTCATATTATTCGGAAATAAAATGCGCGATTAAGAAAAATTAGAGTTATAATTTCATAAAGTTTGCTTAAATAAACTCTTACGATCTTGAGGATCCAAAAACTATATACTGATAGTGTGTACTCGGTACTGAACTGTTCATCAGCTCGGTTCTATTAACTATGAAATAATTATTGTTAGATTGTTACCGTAACGACAGATATACTTGTTAAGTCGTTACCACGTATAAATTTTGATACTAGTGAAAGTGTGTACTATATACTGTATATTCACTGTATACATGTATTTATACACATATATATCTCCACCTTCCCTCATAAATGTGAGTAAATGACGGAAATCATTTTAACGGCGCATCATCTGAGTACTTAATATTTCTATTGATTAGAGTAGTTATTAAAAATATTTAAATTTTATTTTTTAATGAAAGTACTGAACTCAATTTTAATTTTTTATTAATTAAGTAATCATTTATTTAATATTATTAAATTTTCAGAATTAAAATGGCGAGAATAACTCCAAATATGTTTAATTTATTAAATGAACAGCATGTTAATAAATTACACAGCTCTAGAATATTTAATGTTCTTGATTTTGTATCAGAGGACTCGGAAAAATTGACTAAAATTACTGAATTATCATTGTTGGTGAGTTTTATTAATTTATTTGCTTTTTATGTTACTAAAATTGAGAGACAACTGATAATAAAAAAAAAAAATTTTTTTTTTAATTAATTATAGCAAGAAAAATTTATTTAAAAAATTTCATTTATAGAAGCTCTAAAAAATAATAAATGTAATTTTTTTAAATAATTTTTTTGACCGAGTTTATTTTTAGAGAAAAACCAAAAAATTGTCAAGTGTCTGCTAATTTCAGTGTCATTACTTTTTAATGTAATGATGTTAAAATCAGCAATCTAACAATTTTTGGTTTTATTTATTAAAATTACACTAAAATTAGCCGATAGCGAAAAAATTTAATTTTTTTTTTATTAATTGAATTAGCAATAAAAAAATATTTTAAAAAGTTGCACATATAGTTTTTCAAATTTTTTGAAATTGTGTAATTTTTTTGTAATAATTTTACTAATAAAAAAAATTCTGAAAATAATCAGCTGTCTGCTAATTTTATTTTCATCACTGAAATTAGCTGACACTAGACATTTTTTTTTTTTATTTCTTTTCATTAATAAACTAAGTCTAGAAAATTATTTAAAAAAAATAGCATTTATAATATTTTAGAGCTTCTGAAGATGAAATTTTTTAAATAAATTTTTTTTTTATAAAAATCAATTGTTAAAAAAATTCTAAAAATTATCAGATGTCTTAATTTCAGTATCATTTATTAAATTAATTATTACTAAAAAAATATTTTTTTTCAAGTTTAGTTAGTCATATTTATATCAATAAAATTATAACAAAGAACAAGCGTTAAAAAAAATAAAATTTTTGGGATTTAAAATAAAAATCAAAGTATTTTTGACGATACTGAAATTATCTCATATCTGTTAATTTTTTAAAATTTTATAACAAATCAATTACAATAAAAAAATGCTTCTAAAAATTTCCACTAATAATTTTTTTTAATTTTCACATGAGAAATTTTATTATTAAATTTATTTTACAATAATTTGTTTTAAAATTCTAAAAAAATTTCTAATGTCTGTCAACTTCATGTCTGTCAGTGTCATTATTTTTGATATAAATAATATTGTTTTCACAAAAATTTGATTGACATATTTCCTTTCGTTTTCTTATGATAACCTGATGTCATTTAATTTTTCAAGGATTTAATTTAAAATAAAAATTTAATTATAATACGGTAACTTTAATTTACATTCCAGGAAATTGAAGCTATAAGAAAAGAAATAGCTCTACGATTCGCCGGAATTGTTAAAGATCCAGTAATATTACTACAACAGCAAAAACAATATATTTCAACTGGGATTGAAAAGTAAATTTAAGACTATAATTATTTAATTATCCAAAAAAAAATTTTACTTATTTTATTTTATTACAGCTTAGATAAATTGCTGGGTGGCGGTTTGTACGCATGTAGATTTTATGAAATTTGTGGCAACTCATCTGCAGGAAAAACGCAACTCTGTATCACACTAGCTGCCAATATTGCACTCAACTCATCCGCAGACATTCATTACATTGACACCAAGAAAGATTTCTCAGCAACGAGACTCCAAAATATCTTGGAAGCTAAAAATAAACCTGATGAGGTATTTAGTGGCAATGACTTTAACTTTCTGCTTCAATTATTATAATTAAAACTATCTATTATTTTTCTTAAAATTTCGTAGATCATAGCGAAGATAATGAGTCAGATAAAAGTAACAACTCTAAAAAGCATCACCGAGCTATTTACACTTTTACACAATTTTTCATCGTTATTTAAAGCAAGCAATTTTTAGTGAAATTTAGTGTCATTGCAAAGGTCTTGGAATTGTCCCTTTTTAAGGTTTCATATCATTCTCACCTATAGTCAATTTATTTTATGAAAAGTATTTAGGCTGCATTCGAAAATGCTCTGGCTCTAGATACATAATTAAGAAATGGCGTTGTATCTTGTAAAATATTAACATTTTTAAGGATATAAGCTCATCTGGATGTTACACTCATCAATACCTTTCATTTGAGTACCCACATCCATTTTTCATATATTTATATATATTATATATATGTATATATGAAAAATATATTAAAGTTCATGTGGGTACTCAAATGAAAGCTCTTGATGAGTGTAACATCGAGATGAGCTTATATCTTTAAAAAAGTCAATAGTTAAAAAATTACAGTGCAATTTGACAAAATTCATTATTTAATAAAGCAAAATTTTATTTATTCATAATTCATAAATCACGGCAGTCACATAGTGACTGCAAGGTTACTAGTTAGATTATTAAAGATTAATTTAGAATTTTAATACTCAGGGTGAAATTATAATTTATAAGTTACTTACATATTTATATCCATGTATATAAATTAAAAAAATATAATTTACAATTAATTTTTAATAGAATAAAATTAAATTTATTATTTGATATTTTTGGAAATAAAATTTATCTTTATATAAGTTGAGGTAAATTTTTATTGAACCTGTCATTTAAAAAATAGAAAATTTTTATTGTCATTGTTTAAAAAATTTATTTTTTTAATTTCTTAAAATTAACAACAATATAAACAGAATAATTTTAAAAATTAGTGAAAAAAAAAATAGTTCAAAAAATAACCGCGAACGAATGACAACTTCCGGAATTTTTATCGTGTACTATAAAAAGCGACGTTGCCAAATGCATAATTATAAATCTGAAAGGTATATAAAATGTATATACGTATACATTACAATGATAATAATAATAATAATAATAGAAAAAAAATATATAAAAGCGCACAAACAAAATAGTTTGTCGTTTAGTTGTAGTAGATTTTTATTTAATTAAGCTTTTTTATAAATAATAAATTAATAACCAAAAAAATAAGTAAATAACAATGACTTCCTTAGTAGCTGATTACGGAACATCTTCGGGTTCGGAGAGTGATTCAGAAGGTGTTAAAAAAATTATGTAAGTATCCATAAAAAAATGTGTTTATTGGTAAAAATTAATAAAAATAAAACTTAACCTATGTCACTAACCTCAACAGTATTTTTAAAATTTAACATTGGCAGACGATTATTTTTAGTAATTAAACACTTAATTTAATTTAATTTTGTTATTATTAATTAGTTTAAAGATAATATTTATTCTGTGTAATCTGATCTGGTCAAATTTTAAGTCCAAAGGTGGCGAATGATGACGAGGATGATGATGACGATGACGAAGATGAAGATGAGGATGATATTACTGAAACTAATCAGCATGATGATGATAGCAATATTAAAAATTCATACAATAACAATAAGCTTCCATTACCGACTCCAGATTTTAACGCTACGCCCACCTTGAAAACTTCCGTATTTACAAATCCGTTCGTCGAAGCTGAAAAAGCCAAAAGCGCTATCCTAGAGAAGCACGTCAAGATGACGCCGACATTAGATGACACCAAGATGATAAATGGCCGTAAAATTTGCTGGAATTACCGTAAAGGTCGGTGCCGCTTCGGGCATAACTGCACTTTTGCTCATGACTCGGATCTCCATCGCAGTGCTGCTGAATTAGAAGCCATTCGTACACCTCAGGAGACTGTTATTTGTCAAACTCACTTCAATAATCAAAAAATTTATTATCTTAATAGTGATCATGATGATAATAGTAAAGATAATGATAATGATGATAATGATGATGATGATGAAATAGATCAAGAGAATAATCAAATGGTTAAACGCAAAAAGAGACCTGGGTTGAGCCAAAGTCTTATTCCGGGTAAAAAGGTTTTGAAAATTTATAAAGCCCAACAAACTAAAGCTGTTGGTAGATAAAATATTTTTTATTTTATTAGGAGAAAGTTCGCTTGATTAATTTCTAAACTAAAATTATTTACTCAAGGGCGTTTTTGAAAATACTCTAGGTCTCATGACTGAGCAAGAGATCCTTTGGTAAATATGTTGTACTAATACTAGAAGACATATTATAATTTTTTTGCTTTTACAAAAACATTCAATCAGCGATGCAATAATTTTTTTTCCAAACATAAAAACAATCTGATATTTTTAGAATTTTATAAATATTTAGAGTATAATGTCTTCAACAAATCCATGTGTTAATTTATAAACTTGAGTAGAAAATAATTCACTTTTAATATTTAAAAAAATAATCGTGCATTTAAAAAAATTTTTTAGAGATTTAAATTCCGAATATTTTTTTTTTTAATATTCGAATAAGTGAAATTTTTTACATGAATTCTATTCATAAAGATGTCCAAAAAATTTTCAATTTAAAAACTAGCATAAACTTTTGTTCTATTTTTTACCTAGAAATTTATAATTAAAAAAAAATAGTAATTAACGTCAGTCCGGTCTAAAAAAATTAAATTCTTATATTAAAAAAAAATAGAATAAAAAATTAACTTGTTTTGTAAGTTTTAGATTTTACAATTTTTCGTGCCAAAGAATTTTACGCTAGAAAATTTTCAAACGCACCAAAAATTTTTTTATTTCATTGAAATAAAAGATTAAATTTGAGATTTTAATTAACAAACTTTCTCACTCAAATAATAATTATTATTAACTAACTTATTGATGAAGATTTGATGCATCGAACAATAGAAAAACTTAGTCCGTCAAAAGTTTTCCATTTTAAAAACCCTAAGATTTTTTAATTAAATTTTATCTTGTTGTTTTTAAAAGTTTATTTAAGAAAGATTTATCTATACATTTATTACTTATAAAATATTTAAACAGCAGAAGCTTCCAAGATTATACGTTAAAGAGGAAATAGCTGCGGAAATTAAAATCATGTAATAAAAATGAAAAATAATGAAATTTCATACAAATAATTTTTTGATTATAAAAAATTTAATTTTTGATTTAAATTTTTTATCAAACATTAAACTACAAAATAATCAAGACTTGAAATTTTTAAAACTATAAAGCCATTTGCACTAACCAAATACGTAGGCGTAGAAAAAACATTTTTATTAAAAATTTCCATTTTAATTATTATATTATAGAATTAATATATAATCTTCCTCTGGTAATTAATAATATTAATAATAATAATAATAATAAAAACTTTATTAAAACTATAAACATAAATAGATGCCTATGAAACTGATATTTATTCAGTAAAATATGCTAATAATTAATGATATTCATATCAACTAAAAACTTCCATAGTACGTACCTTTTTACGATTAAAAAACATCTCCATCATATAAAGATTAAGTTTTTTAATCATTGATTATCATTAATTATTGTTGATTATTTAACGACTCACGTCATAGCTAACCAGTACGCATTCACTTTATATCTGTGTTCCAATATTTCGTTTTCCGTTGTTACATCTTAACCATTTAAATGTGGAGAAATTAAAACATATATAAATATATATTTATAAATTTATTAACGAAATATTAAATAAAATATTTTTTAACAAAGTATTATTAGTTAATATTTAAATATTAATAAAATTGTTTTTGCGTTAATTCCGTTGTAGAAAAGTTTTTTTTATCTATATTATAATATATTAAAATAACTGAAATTATTGAGAGAAAGTATATACTGAGTAATAGTTGATAATTATAATGAAATTTATGTATATAAATATAAGTCAATTTGTAGTAATTTATCTTTGAGATTTATTTGAAATATATCTACGTATTAGAAAAAATAATGTTTATAATTTCATATTGTCCATCATATCTCACATATTATGTATAAAATAATTTATGTTATCTATATTATTAAGATAATAAGAAAAATTTTTTTTCCAGGATAGTCATATGATAAAATCGGTTTTTTAAGTGAAATTTAATGTCATTAGAAAGGTCTTGACTTGAATTTATGCCTTTTCAAGGTTTCATTTTATCCTCACTGATAGTCAATTTACTATGATAAGTAATTAGGCTGCATTCGAAAATGCTCTATCTCTAGATACATAATTAAGAAATTACCTTGTATCTTGTCAACTATTGACATTTTTGAAAATATAAGCTCATCCCGATGTTATACTCATCAAGACATTTCATTTGAGTACCCACATCAATTTTTCATATATTTGTATATATGTATATATGAAAAATATATCAAAAATGCATGTGGGTACTCAAATGAAAGCTCTTGATGAGTGTAACATCGGGAAGAGCTTACAACTTTAAAAATATTGATAGTTAAGAAATGACCTTGTATCTCGTGAACTATTAACATTTTAAAAGATATAAGCTCATTTTGACATTATACTCATCGAGACCTTTCATTTGAGTACCCACATCAATTTTTTATATATTTTATATATTTATATATAATATATAAATATATAAAATATATGAAAAATGCATGTGGGTACTCAAATGAAAGCTCTTGATGAAAGGAACATCAGGATGAACTTATATCTTTAAAAATGTCAATAGTTAAGAAAGTACAGTGCAATTTAACAAAAAT